TCTTAATGTATTGTTCATTGCTGTCACCAGATATGCTTTCCAAAGATGCCTAGGTATCTTTTAACTATTCAATCCAGCGCCACAGTATTGTCAACTTCCTTACTTCCATTGGAGTATCAATTAAGTCATGAACTACTGCAAACCCCAGGCTGTGAAAAATGTGATTGAGGATAAATACAGAGTGTCATGATTTAGCTGTCATGTGGGATACCCTACCCCTACAAAGTGGAGACATGGATGAGGCTCACACTACTCAGCAAGATACTTTCAAGAAAACTGGTAAATAATGGGGTTGACCCCTCCACTCCCGTGTCAGTTTTGCACAATGGTTCCACTTTGGCAAAGTTCACATTTACTGTGGGGAGGTCACTCTGCGTAAGAACTCTTCCTGAAGAAACCTTACCTACTGCCTGGCTCTTGATTTTGATTTGATTTATTGTGGTCACATGTACCTAACTACAGTGAAAAGCTGAAAACTGTGCAGGCAGATCACAGCAAACAAGGGCATACAGATGATGGGGTGCTTAGACAGAGTTTTCAGTGGGGAGTGTTCCTGTCCTGAAATCGATTGAGGCTCTTAAGTAGGAAATGATTGCCTTAAGAGCCTATCCCACTGCAGGTGATATTCACCCAGCAGTGGGCAGAGGACGTGAATTTTCAGAAGCACAAAATGCAAGACCTGTGAGGTTGCTTGTGGCCCGTGGAGGTGGGGAGTGTCAGTGGTCTTTTCTTTAAAGGCTCTCAATGTCTGACCAAGGGACCTTGCATTGGAAAGCGAATCTGCTGAAAGCCACACCTGCCCTTTCTGGCTGGGTCCATATTTCTAAGTCACAGGTTGTGTCCTAGCAGCAGCCATTGCCTCCCCAATGATGTTGTGAATCAATGTCATGTTGCCAGCCTCTGATTGCTGAGCAGCTGTCAACAGGTAGGTCTTCTGCGATTGGAGCTCAATGATCTTTCCCCAAAGAGATGACCAGAACTTCAGCTAACATTTCAACCAGCTACAAGGCCCTGTTATTTCTATGAAGTAGCACCCAGTAAAGTGTGTTATTATAACGATTGAAAATGTTAGCATTATTGAATGATGTGTAATTGAATTTTAATGGTACACCATTTCAATTACTATTCGACATTCTGTGGCTCTAAAAAAAAATGTTGCAAAAATTGAATCTTTATTCCTGAGAAGCACTTTTTAAAATGCCAGAATTTTTAAAATCAGTCTTGACATTTCAGCTTTTACATTAATTCTATGTGCGTGCCTGTTCTTCCTAGAAACTGATTGAAATATGGCTTATTATTTGTTCCTTTACTTCCTGCTTTGCTAATTGTAAGAATTCTTCAATCATACCAGTTTGCCTGATGCCTCTATCATTATTAGACACCACAGTTTTCCTGTTGATTGGACCAGATTCATACTGCGTTGGAATAGACAAAATTGATACTCTTAAAATTGTCTGGACTGATTGGACTTGGATACTCTTCCTTACTTCACTTTAAATGCTAAATAAATTGTAATTGTTATTATTTAAGCAAACTATTTTATTTTTCTAAATGGGATTGCAGTCAATTGGAAGAACCATATACAACTGAATAGTTTCAATAGGATCCTACATAGCGAATAAAAGCAAGAAAAACCTCAGGAACAAGCAATCACACGTTAGGACACCCAGAAGTGAATGTTGACAGTATAAACAAAGAAGAGAAAACATTGGGAATGAAAAAATATTGGATAGGTGGCACAGCAACAACTAAGAAAAATTAAACGGCAATAGGAAAAGGTGAAAAATCTGAGGTACAATCTCAGTGAGGTGTAATGAATGTTTGAGGCCATAGTAACAGTATTCTGAATCTATTACAAAGGATAAATATTCAAAACATAACAACAAATATAAAAACTTTGACCATCCACAAATCATCTACTGAAGATCTGAAAGTGTTGATTATTTCGTTACGGTTAGATTTTAGTGAAGCACAGAGAGCTATTTTGCATCATGGAAAGTTATTGTAAAATCCATAGTAAGAAAAGTTGCTTTCAACCTTCAACCCTTGAACAAATTGTGTGTCAGAACTGCATCAAAGTTAAGAGATGCAAAAACAGATACAGGAAATAATGATCAGATTTTATCACCAAATAAATAGTAGTACATCTGTAATTAGCTAGCTTTCAGTACACCATGGCCCATTTTATGCAAAGTAAAAATGCCCAATATATTGGCTCTGAACGTGGACATCCTGCTTGTTATAGGCTTAATAATTGCATCTAATTTATGCCTCGTCATGAGATTTCAACCTACATTAATTAATGTGAACTGATGAGTCTTAAAGTGACCAAAACTTATATGATATTATTTTGAGTGTAACTTTTGAGGTGAATAATAAAAACCCAAAAACCACACACAACTTAAGTTGTGACTATGTTCTACTTAATGTACCTTGCCACTTTGGAGTTGCACGGATACAGTAAGTAAGTTTCATTGTGGGACATCTAACAGCACTGTAGAAGCAGCAATAGTGTGAGGACTGATTGATTCAAGAAGCTGACCCACAATTACCTTCTCTAGGGATTGCCAGCATCACCCACGTGCACATCAACAAAAATAAATTGCCTGAGTCGAGAGAGAAAATTATGCCTGGAGTGATATAAATTGCCAAAGTAGTGTATCAGTTTTCGTTTGGCTGTTTTTGTTTCACTAGCATAATTTGCACTGGTAAACAGAATACTGCATAGCATTGATTGACAGTGATATCCTCTGTTGAAGCAAGAACAATTGCAACATAACTACTATATGTTTTTTGATTTGATAACTTGCAGCTGGTTTCCAGAAAATATATTGTATACATTTTTAGTGCTGCCCATAAATTGTGTGGTTAAATCCAATCAGTACTTTCCTAGATCACTACTAACCAGAATATATTGTCACTTATAAATTGGCTTACTATATTTGAAAGTTGCTCTACAATGAAGAACTGAAGCCAATTTCTTGCAAAAATAGTCTTATATTTACATTTAAGTACATATCTTTTTAAATTGTCTTTTCTTATATTTGATGTGTTAGAAGCAAACAAATTGCAGCTGTATTTTTAAAATTTTACTTGTTCCCATTTCTGCAACTTGATATAAAAATGGTAGCGGTCTGAAAGTTATAATCTTCTGTAGTGAATACTCTCAGATCATATTCATGTGATGTGGTGAACAAAGGAAGTATTTGTTCTGAGTTTTTCTCCACTGATGCTGGAATTCTATACATTAAGAAAAAAAACGCTGTTACAACTATAATGACCTAATGTTATAATTTAATAAATTTATTATTCCTTCAATGTATAATTGCATAATCAACAGTTGTTTTTCTGCTTTGAATCCTATTCATACTATACATTGTTAAACTGAGTGACCTTGGTTTATCATGCTTGTATTGTGCAATGCATACAGCTCATTGCATCAACTAGGAAATCATTATTTGCAGGTGATTTGAAGATAATTAATTAAAGCTGAGTTTATAGTTCTTCGGAAGTGACTGGGGAAACAGAAACGTGTTTATGCATTTAAAAATTACTCAGAAAAGTTTGGCCATTTAACCTTCTCACCGGGGAGATCCGTTAAGCTTATTCATGCATTTACTTTAACAAGTTTCTTTTGAAGTAAATACTTATTGTTTTAAAAGATATTTACATAAATGTACAAAATTTACATAATTTTAATCATCAGATAAATAGAATGATAATGCTTCTGTTTTGATACAACATTATAACTATAGTATGCTGGTAGTATACTGAAGGAAAATAGCTTAAGTTTGAAAAGGAATTAATTTTAAAGATCAAGTTAAGGACCTCAGATTATTGGACAGGTTTTAGTAGTATCACCGGGCTCACTGGTATTGTTAAGCAATATATTCAAGCTTAGATCTCAAAGATTAACAGAGCAATAATATACATGCTTCCTGAGCAGTTCCATAGTTCCTGTGCTGATCTTATCAATTCTGGTTTTGCATCAATTTCTTTCTGTCATGAACTACACACCTAACTATCACAAATGCACTGAAGCAGAAATTAGGCAGAAGTTTCTTTCAAGTTTAGACTTCTTGCTGCAGAGGCAGGACGTGCCAAAATCTAATGATGAAGGATTGATAGAAATTACTGTTTGGGTCTCATCAATAATTGGAGTGGGATAGACTGTTTTGCTGGTCATGGCTCCACAGTCTGCTCACCAAAAGGGCAAAATCCTCTTTGACTGCCAACCTCCTAAGAGGCCGCTATCGGGTAAGGTCCAGAAACAAGGCTGTTGTTTAAGCAGAAAATGCGTGAGGGTGTTAGGAGGCAAACTCTGTGTTTGTGGAATTAGAATGAAAACACCCCAATGCATCAACAAGGATCACAGGGGAAGTCTGGCTAAAGCATATTCAATTGCTCACCCAATCATCCAAAATAAATTATATGAATGAACAAATTAATTAGTTTAATGTCCCATTCTGAAGTGGTGCAGTGAGTGGGCAGTATGCTTTTTTCAGCATGTAGGATTGCTAAGGTTCTGTTTTCACTGATGAACATCTGTTCATGTTATTTTATAGAGTAGCGCTGTTGTTCTGGAAAAGCTTGGAACAACAGTGCTACCATGAACATGTGCAGGAAATGTGAATGCAATTTCCAACATAAACTGGATCACTTTCAATATAGTGGCATGGAAGTGCCCTTAAGAGCATTGTGGTCAACCTACAGCATGTGGACTGCAGTGGTTGATAAAGACAGTTCACCACCTTCTCAAGCAACTAGGGACGGGCATTAAGTGCTGGCCAGCCAGCAACATCCATGTCCCATGAATGAATAAAAAAATTACAAATAACTTTTCAGGAGAAATGTTCCTTTTTACTATTGTAACTTCTATGAATTATTTGAAATGCTTACTGTTCTGTTGACAGTTCCAGTTTAGATTGTACAAGAATCCAAGCAGGATTCCTGACATAAAAGACAATCATATTCCATTTTTACTTTTTTTATCCACTCAGGATCAAGAATGGTGGATACACAATTGCCTCTATGGCCCATCAACTTTGCTATGGGTACAATGGACCTTTCGGAACTTGCCAACCACTCTCATTCCTTCGATGTAAAGCCATTTGCTACTGTAGACCTTTCCACGGTTTCTGCAGTTAATTATGAAGATCATACTTCAACCTCTATAAGAATTGACGAGAATTCTTCAGACTGTAAATATGATGAAAGATTTCTGGACTACCAAAGTATGTTATTATATTTGATTGTATTTATGAAATAACATATCCAATAAAAGTTATCTGCTATTTTCATAATTTTTAATTCATTTTTAAAGTTTGGATTACAATATTTGAATTTTCATATCATAGGTAAAACATGTTTGTGTGAAACCTTCTTGTTTACATCTTCTGGCCACCCTCAAAGGAAAAATAGGGCTGAGTAATAATGAAAAGTTCGATTCAGGGAATGGGAGAGCAAATGATAGCTTAAAGTATATTTCTGAGAATGTAGGATAAATGCCTACCTAGCATTAACAAGTGTAGACAAAACCAATGTAATTAAAACAACATCAAGTGAAATAAAGGAGATAGACAGACAAACTGCGTATCCTACCACATAGAAGGACAAAATAACAATCGAATACATGTTCTGCTCTGGGAGTCTTGGGTTTTACCATTCACGTTCAGGGAATAAAAGCCCAAATATTTTGGTTAAGTTACAGGTTAATGATAGAACAGTACAGCACAGTACAGGCCCTTCGGCCCACAATGTTGTACCGATCTATTATCCTACTCTAAGACCAAAGTAACCTGCATACCTTTCATTTTACTATCATGCATGTGCCTATCCAAGAGTCGCTTAAATGTCCCTAATGTATCTGACTCCACTACCATCTCTGGTGCATTCCATGCAACCAGTACTCTCTGTGTAAAGAGAGGTTCAATTGATTCTAGTTATGTGAGCATTTTCTACTTGAATATCAGGATTTGAAAATCGGCAAGACCTGTTTGAAGCTGCATCATTTTATGAAAACCTCTAATTTGAAGCTCTAATGTGCAATGTAAAATTATTCTCAATGTCTTCTAATGCCTGGCTTGACTTATATAAATTTTAAATGAAAAATAAATTATCTTTACACAGGTGCTATTAAAGTTGAACCATCTTCCTTGAATGACAATTCAGGAAAAGAGCTTTCATTTGCAAGGTTACAAGAAGATTCATCAAATTCAGCCCTGTCTATTGAATGTAGAGTGTGTGGAGACAAGGCCTCAGGTTTTCATTATGGGGTCCATGCATGCGAAGGATGTAAGGTTTGTTGAATTTATGTTACTGTTCTTAATCTATAAGAAAAAAACAGAAGCATTTTTATAGAATACTGCTGTATAAATATTTAATTACTTGTGCATTTCGTTGCATGTATACTTTAAAATTTGTATACAGTAGGAAGGTATCACTGTGGCACTGCTCAATCTTTCTCTTTTTTTTAAGCATAGTTAGTCCAGGAATCTAAAATTGTAAGTAAATACAAAGAAAAAAGGTGTTCAATAGCACAGTGGCTCAGTGGTTAGCACTGCTGCCTCACAGCACCAGGGACCCCAGTTCAATTCCAACTTCAGGCAACTGTCTGTGTGGAGTTTGCACATTCTCCCAGTGTCAGTGTGAGTTTCTGCCAGGTGCTGTGGTTTCCTCCCACAGTCCGAAGATGTGCAGGTTAGGTGGATTGGCCATGCTAAATTGCTCACAGTGTTCAGGGATGTATAGATTAGATGCATTAGCGATAGGAAATGCTGAGTTACCAGGATAGGGTAGGGGAATGGGTCTGGGTGGGATGGTCTTCGGAGATTTGATGTGGACTTGTTAGGCCGAATGGCCTGTGGGGATTCTATGATTCTAACTTTCTAGCAAGATTAACTCCTATTTAATAGACCCGTTCCATCAATAATATGATTTGATTTGCATAACAGGGATTTTTCCGGAGAACAATCAGGCTGAAGTTGATGTATGACAAATGCGATCTAAACTGTAGGATTCAGAAAAAAAACAGGAATAAATGTCAGTACTGCCGATTTCAGAAATGTCTCGTAGTGGGCATGTCGCATAATGGTAGGTATATGTAAAATTGTCTCTCTGTAACTATTGTACATTGATTTCTCACATTCTTCAAAATGTTGAATGCTTAGAGCATAAGAGTTTGAAAAAGAGACTTATAAATACTACTGTAACAAAATTAAATCCATTATCACCTGTTTAAACACCAGCCCTCCTCACTTACACACCCATATTTCATTAAGAACAGGCAGTAATGTTAAACTTCTCCTCCGATCCTCCTACTCTCTCCCAGCAAACATGCAAAAATGCTTTGACTTAACTAATCCTCTCTATAGAGGCATGTCTTTCAGCAGTCTTGCTGCAAACTATAACTGAATATATGAGGATTCACATGTATGGGCTTGTGCTGCAGCTCAGCTATTAAATACATCAACACACCCTTCGTATATTAATTCTTGGGATACAGGTGTTATTAGCAGCATTAACATCTATTGCCCATCCTCAGATGCCATTCAGAAAGTAGTGTGGGAAAAAAAAATCAATTAAACCTGGAATTGATTGGTATGTAGTGAAATAGTCTAGTATACCTTTAAATGGAACTCTAATCATTTCCAAGTACTACTGGTTTTTGCTTCTATCTTGAACTGCTCATCTGCTACACTGGAAGACCCCAAGATTAGTCACAAGTGTGCTGTTTTGCCAATCCAACTGCATTTTTAATTGCATTATAACTCATGCAGATTAGATCTAATCTTCATTTACCCAACTGTGCTTAAGTTTGCTTTTGCTAAAAATGGTTTCAGCCACTGAACATTCAGAGCAAAAATCAGACATGCTTCCCTTTGGATCGCTATCCAACAGTTTCTGCAGAAAGTTTATCAATTTTGAGTGAGAAACAGGATGGAGCTCAGCGGTGATATTCAACAGTCATGTGCTTTATCAACATTAAGCTTAAATTTTGATCAGGGTTCTTTCACACACTAAATTAAAGCAATATGTCTAATGTCCTTTAGGGAAGGAAAGTGCCATCCTAACCTGGTCTGGTCTACATGTGACTCCAGACCCACAGCAATGTGGTTGACTCTGAACTGCCCTCTGGGCAATTAGGGATGGACAATAAATGCTGCCTAGCCAGTAAAGTCCTCATCCCATTAACAAATAGAGAAAAAAAAACAATATGTGTTAAAATAACATAATTGTAATGACTGTAATAAAACAAAGAACTGCAAACGCTGGAGGTCTGAAACAAAAACAAATTGTTGCTGAAATTCAGCAGGTTTGGCAGCATTTGTGGGAAGAAAGTAGAGTCAAGGTGTAGAGTCCAGTGACTCTTCATCAGACCATATGGCGTTTCAACAGCAATTTCTGTTTTATCTAAGATTTTCTGTCTACTGTCTGTCCTGGACTTATGACATGCTATGAGGAATGAGTTCTGTCAGGTAAGGAGATATGGTACACTAAATAAGTTTTATTAAAGGATGCGTGGATTTAAAAAATAACTCACAACAAATTGGCTCAAGTTCGAATCTCATTTTTGATGGATCATCACCTTCCTGGAGAGTCCCATTTGGCTGGACTGGAAGAAGAAAGGAGTCCTCTTGGAGTCCCCAGACCTGAGCAAATTTTGATTCTTTGATCATTTTGATACTGACAGTCAAGCTTGCCATGCAGTTCTGTTTCATAATTCTCTTAATCAAAGATCCAAGTAAAGATGTAATAGTATTTGAAGACTCCCCTAGCCGCTCCCCTAGCCAAGCTGTTCCTGTACAGTTACAACACTGGCACCTACCTGACAAAGTGGAAAATTGCCCAGGGCTGTCTTGTACATAAAAAGCAGGACAAATTCAAACCAGCCAATTACTATCGCCTCAATCCACTCTCAATCATCAGTAAAGTGATGGAAAGTGTCGTCAACAGTGCTATCAAGCAGCACCTGCTCAGCAATAGCCTACTAAGTGATGCCCAGTTTGGGCTCCATCAGGTCCACTCATCTCCTGACCTCATTACAGCCTTGGTTCAAACATGGTCAAAAGAGCTGAATTCCAGAGATGGTTGCACATTGCTCAGCATCATTCGTGACTCCTTAGACACAGAAGCAGTCCATGTGCCCAACAAGACCTGGGCAATATCCAGGTTTGGGCTGACAAGTGGTAACTAACATTTGCGCCACACAAATGCCAGGCAATAACCATCTCCAATAAGAGACAATCTCAACACCACCCTTGACATTTCAGTGGAGTTACCATCATTGAATTTGCCACTATCAGCATCTTTGATGTTACCATTGATCAGAAACTCAACTGGACTCCCACATGAAACATAGCAGCTACAAAAGCATGTCAGAGAGAGGACGGTGTTGGGTGAATATATTAGCATGGGTGGAGGATTGTTTAACAGGAAACAGAATTTGGATGAATATGTCATTTTAAATTGGAAGATTAACTATTAGAGCACTGCTGGTATCAGTGTTGCACCAACAACTGCTCATGATCCATTTTCATGACTTGGATAAAATGGCAGTTATTGTAGCCATAATTAATGATATCAAGATAGGTAGGAAGAGGGATACAAAGATTCTTCAAATAGATATGAATAGTTTAAAATGAGGAGACAAAAACTGACAATGAAGTTAAATTTGGAAAAATTGACATTTATTCATTTTGGCAGGAAGAATTGAGTAGCAGGATATTAAATGGAGAGTGATTGCAAAATGCTGTAGTACAGAGGTATCTTAGTATGTTTGCTAAGAATAATAAAAAAGTTAGCATACAGATACAGCGAGTAATCAGGAAAGCAAATGCAATGTTTGTCTTTGTTGCAAGGAGGCTGGAGGGAAAACAATTGCTACACCTGTGGAGCATTGGTGAAACCATACCTGAAGTACTGTGCACAGTTTTGTTTTCCTTACTTTAACAAGGATATATTTGCATTGGAAACAGTTCAGAGCAGGTCACTAGGCTGATTCCTGGGTTGAAAGAGTTCATAGAAACCCTATGGTGTGGAAACAGGCCATTCGGCCCAACAAGTCCACACCAACTCTCTGAAGAGTGTCCCATCCAGACTCCGACCACCCGCCCAATCCTATCCCTGCATTTTCCATGGCCAATCCACCTAATCTGCACATACATGGACACTGTGGTCAATTTAGCATGGCCAATCCACCTAACGTGCACATCTTTGGACTGTGGGAGGAAACTAGAGCACCAGGAGGAAATCCATGCAGACAAGGGGGAGAATATGCAAACTCCACACTGTGACCCAAGGGTGGAATTGAACCCAGGTTCTTGCGCTGTGAGGCAGCAGTGCTAACCACTGTGACGCTCCATGTCTTAGGGAAAAGGTTTGGCCTATGCTAATTGAAGATTACAAAAATGAGAGGTCATCTTCTTAAAACATTATAAGATTCTTCGGGGGATTGACAACTCCCATGTTGAGAGAATATTTCCTATTATGGCAGAATATGGAACATGGGGACATAGTTTCAGAATAAACTCTTCCATTTAAGATAATGAGTAATTTGTTAGAGGATTGTTTATCTTTATGTCATTTAATATATTCAAGGCTGAATTGGTCAGATGTTTGGGCAGTAAGAGTGTTAAGGGCAATTGGGGACAGGCAGGAAGTTGGAGTTATGGTCTTGAACTTACTGAATTGAGGACCAGGTTGATGGGTCAAATGGCCTTCTCATGCTCCAATTTTTTGTGTGCAACCTGCATTTAGCAGCAGTTGAACTATTTCATAGCCTAATCTGTTTTTGAGAGTGTTTTTCTTTTTAAAAACTCAAATTTGATCATTTGAAGTATGTCTGCAACATTGTTGATTTGGAGAAGTCAGATTTGTAAATGTGCCAAATGGAATTGTTTGGGAGCAATTTGACAGTAATAACCAAAAGATAAGTCACAAATATATTTGATGTGCTAAAAGGAAAAGCATTGTTCAGCTTTGTTACTTGGGTAGAAGACATAAAGGCATGACCCTTGCATTTTTTCTAGCATCGGAATTAATAGAAAGAAATTCCAGTGTATTCCACAAACAGCATGCAATTTTCCCCACCTGATTTTCCATCCACACCTCTGCCTGGGTTAAGTCCAGATGGTAATGATGAAAATCTACCCTATTATTTTGGGTTTGGTAAAATTGCCTCTAATCTGGCTTGTTAGTGCCTTGTGCTTGACACTAAATTCTAAATGCAAAAATATTTGCTTTGATATGTGCAGGTAGCAGTTGTGGGGAAGTGTGGAGCAAAACTTAACCTTCTCTTGGGAAGTAAGGCAGGGCAAGTGACAGAAGTGTTAGTAGGGAACACTTTGGGATTAAAACAAAATTGCTGAAAAAGCTCAGCAGTTTTTTGAGCTTTTCTTGAGGAAAAAAAAGTTTTTTTCCTTCACAGATGCTGCCAGACCTGCTAAGCTTTTCCAGCAACTTTGTTTTTATTCCTGATTTACAGCATCTGCAGTTTTTTCAAGTTTTTTTAACTCTTTGGGATTCATGATCATAATTCTATTAGTTTTGAAACTGTTATGGAAAAGGATAAGCCTTCCATAATGAGTTAAAGTTCTTAATTGGGGTAAGGCAAATTTTAATGCTATGAGACAAGAACCTGCAAAAGTTGATTGGAGTAGACTGTTTGCAGGTAAAGGGATGACTGACAAGTGGAAGGCTTTCAAAAGTGTGATAGTGAAAGTCAGAGACATTATGTTCCTATTTGAGTAAGGGGTAAGGCTGGTAAGAATAGGGAACAATGGATGAATAAAGATATTGAGTTCTATTCAAGAATAGGGAAGAATCGTATATTAGATATAGACAACTGGGATCAAATGAATCTCTTGAAGTGTATAAGAGAGTGTTCTGTTATGCCTAGAGGCATTCTTAAGAGGGAACTCAGGAAGGCAAAGAAGGTCATCTAGGGATATCATGTCTCTCAAACTTGATTGAGTTTTTTCAGGAAGTAACCAAAAAGTAAAATCCATGTAAACAACACCCACCACTCTGCCCTCATCAATCTTTTTGGTTACTTCCTCAAAAAACTCAATCAAGTTTGTGAGACATGATAT